TACATGTCAATACTTATTGAAATGTTATGAAGATTGTAAGTACAGTATTATAATGCGTACTGATAAATATTGATAAGTACTGAAATACTGATAAGTAGGCCTATTGATAGACATGTATTGATTAGTTTTGATAAGTAATTTTTATATTTTTCCTCAAGTGAATAAACGATATTTTTGAATTAAATTGAAATGACCAATGATAAGGTCATATAGTATGTTGAGAGTCGAATGGTCGAGCGGTTAAGGGAGGGGGTGCTGCAACATACAGCCATAATATCGGCGTTCAAAGAGGCAACCTAAAGGTTCTGGTGGTGTAACAATTTTTCTATTCAAATGTCCATTGAGATGAGTAGGGGGGTACAGTACTCCGTTGTAGTGTTTCATACAGCCCCTGCTGTGGACAGATGAGCGACAGCTGGTACTGGTTTACCGGGTAGCTCAGACACGAGGAGAAGCAAGTTATTGTACAAGCTATTCACACCTAAAATGCTTTGAGACTTTGTTACAAAAAACTTTATAATCTACATAACATTACAGTACATACACAGTTCAACTTACCTGTTTGGTGCAGCACTTTGCCTTTTTGCTTCCTCCTGCAAATCATCAACCTAAAATGCATAACAAACATTGATTAAATCAGGTCTTTTTTTTTTTTTTACAATGTCTTGTACTCTACCATCAAATTTTTTCAAATATATTCACTATGTAGGGGTCATGCTGTTAACCTGCACGTGGTAACCCTGCTACTACTGTTCCAACAGCAACTACAATCCATTATTTGTGATTATTCACTAAAGGAAGCTACATTAACACCTGTGTAGCTCATGCGATGGATTCAGACAAATGAACGGACGAACTATGTGGCCTATTTATTGTAAGGCAGGCAACCATCAACTAAAGCCTAAACATCGGCGCTAGTTAGAGATGCTGCTTGCCTGGGGTTAGGTTGATAGAACCAAGTCTTCTTAAATAGTACTTAATACTGGAGTTGCAATGTATACATCTGGCGTGTCTGAACCCATTAAATTTACTTGATGAATCGTGAGTGGATTTCCCGTACGATAAAAAATTGTAACGGAACTGGGTTTAGTCTACAGGAGTTCGTGCTTCGAACAGGTCCTTCCAATCATAGAAGCCTTTTGATGGAGAAAGTGTACTTTTTTAGCAAAGGTTTGCCTAGGTCGAAACTAACTCCGACTATATAAAATTGATTATAAAATTGAAAAATATTAATCTTATTATTGTAGTAGTGATACTATGTACACGTTTAAATTATTGTTATTTATTTGTTATCGTCATCATATATACATTTAAATTTAATGTACTGTTTAAGTATGAATTACTATGTCCATGTAAAATTAATCTTTTCTATTAAATTGTACATTTTAAATAATATAGTAATAGGCATAGCCGGGGTCTAGCCTAGGCCTAAACGAGTGACTATCATGTGAGTGTATAACACTTATATTATGGAAAATATGAATAAAACGTAAAATTGTGAAAAAATAAAGGAAGAATAGGAAAGAGATTTGGAGCAGCTGAAATATTTCCAAAAATATACAATAGTAGTCCATATGCTATTATTGCATTACGTTTTTGTAAACAATTATTTACACATATAATTTTATTAAAACAAAAACAAAGAGAGGCATCTACCACCAGAACATATTCATTTTAAATGTGTGTATGAAAATACATGCTACCAATGGAGGGATTTCTTATACAAAATATATAAAAATATTATTTTCCAATTTAATTTTTATACAATTCACGGTAAAAGTGCTTACTAAATGTTCCAGTCGTTCCTTCTCTGTTCTTTCTTGCGCTAAAAGAGTCTGAAGTTCTCGTAGCATTACAGCATGGTCGATGTGTTCCTGTTCTCGTTCATTTTGTTGAGTTCTCAATGTTGCTTTTGCTTCATTAAGTTGTTCCGTTAACTCCTCCTTAACTAATTTCAGTTCTCCTTCGGCTTCATTAATTTTTGCAATTTTTGCTTCATTATCTTCCTAAAAATAAATCCAAGAATTCTTAAAAGTATTTTGTTAACTATTATTATTTTGTATATTTATTTAAGAGGCATATACAAGATAGTAAATGCAACCTCCACCAACTTCTTCTTTACACCTCAAAGATAATTTTGGAAGGGTGAAATGTGAAGCATATTCCTAGTTAGAGGCCTAGGATTATGCCAGGAAAGAGGCTGATGGTTTACATTTAGCTATAATTTGGCTTACTTTTGAACAATTACAAGTTTGTATAATTCTTTTTTTTTCAATGACTAATCATTTTTTAATTTTTCAAAGTTATGTTTCTCTTCTCAAATTATCTTTATCTCCTTCCATATACAGTAATATTTTTTTTTTAAATATGACTTTAACTGTATATTTTTACTTCCCTTTAACATGATCAATTACTATATGCTAAAACAAATTTCATTTTTATCACAATTAGTCTAGTCTTTATCCTGTCAATGTATTTTAATTACATCAGCTACTTTTATCCCTTTATAATTAGAATAGTCACATAAAACCACATACTTTGCAAAAACAGACTGATAAGTTTGAACAAACAAGACTCTAAGTTCGATTTGAGGAAAATGTGGTTTGCCTTAGAAAATAGAATACATATGTCATATACATTAGGGAGTGTATGTTCCACAAACTGACAGCTCAGAGATTAAACTCATTTATGTTTTGCACTAAAAATAGTGCACAAGATGGTCTTCACTTTATTTTTAAACATTTGTTTACTCCTTTATCCATTTATTTGAACTTTGAGAGGTATTGTTCATGGCACTTTCCAAGAATATACAACTTGCAACTCTATGTACATTAAGCGGTGGTGCCAGAAACTTGCCAACAAGGGGTCTAACATGTCCAACGGAGGGGTCCGAGCCAAGGGGCAGACCAAGCCTTGGTCGACGGCCCAGAATAAAAACTCCCTTATAGGGTTTACAGGGAGAGTTTTTATGGCTTTAGTATGGTTCAAAATATGATTTTAGGCCACAATATTAAGAGAAAGGCAAATTATTTTTTTTTTAAATTTTGAATCCAATGACCTAGTGGTGCGTCAGACAACAGAGGGACCAGACCTGTCCGACAGGGGGAAAATGCCATCCTGACCCCCTCCTCGCTGGGCCACCACTGTGTACATTGTAATATTATGAATGCTGCCACCAACAGTATGTAACTTCATATGAGTCATGAAAAAAACACACTACACAAACAATGATCAAGTTTGTCGTCACACAACCTACCCTAAGGCTCTTCTTGTCTGCCTGGAAACTAGCCTCCATCTTGGATTTCTGGGCAGTCACGGTTGCTAGGGAGTTAGTGAGTGTAATGATTTGTTGCTGTAACTGCTGTACCTCATCTTTACTTTTCGTTGACCTTTGTTCCCCACTAGAATCCTACAGAAAAACATTGAAAATATATCGCTATCATAAGCTGTCTCCAAATGCTAGCAAAATTGTCAAAACTTTATTAAAGTACTCAAAAATGTGCACAAGTGTATAAAAATACAGATATCATCTTTATTATACTCATTACAATATTATTTTGGAGTGTTCTGGGAGTCTCGGTTCATGGTATACTTTCTTGTCCGTTTCCTTTTGTTGCTGTCAAGCACCTTGAGGTTGGTTTAACGGGAGGTGCTGAACAAATTGCAAATTATTATTATATTATTATTAATATTATTATTAATAAAGAAGTGTTATAAGGTTAAAACCATATAGCAATACGGTCGTAACATGGCAAAACAACCTAACTGCTATTAATTATATTTTTGTGCAGTTACGTTGGTTTGCCTTGGAATGGCCAAATATATATTGTTTCAGCCTCTAGAATCTTATTGGTATGTGGAAAGAAATGTATATAATTTTTATTTTTGTGTTGTTCAGCATCATAAAGTTTTGTACAGTATTTCAGAAGCATTTCATACCAAGGCTGTTTCTTAGGATAAATAAAATAAACTAAAATAACAGATAAACAATAAATGAAATTTCCTGATAATTATGGTAAAAAACATATATTTTAAAGTAATAATATGAGACATATAGATCGAAAAGGAGTAATAATTTCATCCAAAAAAATACTATTAATTATTATAAGTAAGACTAGAGCACCACTCATCTACGGTAAGACAGAACCATAAGCGTTTCTATGCTCAGCCTCTACATCTTTTCCAAGGCACTTTAAAACAATATCTTATGCAAGACCTTTCTTATAAAATTAAAATTTTATTTTTGAGCACACCTCTGCCACAAAAAAATGTAAATTTCAGGAAAAAATAAAAGTTATATATTTTTATTATGATCGCTGCTGCCTTGAAATCTCCAAAAATAATGTATAATTTCTTTCTTTATATAAATTTAAAGCATTTAGACATCCCATTACTACACTCTTTATATTCACCTATAAAACTTTATTACTATTTCCTCGTCCGTCTGGGTGTTTCTGGCAAAACTCTTTGCTTAATAAGAAAATGAAATTTTTTAACAATCTTTGAAAAAATAAGGTCGCGAAACAAGGTATAAAAAAAAGTTTCGCCTTAGCTGGGCACTTGCCACCCATATTGGTAACAAACCTTGTTATTTGTGGAACCATCTGTATCTTTTTCGTATTTCTCTTCATTATTGGCTATTGGTTCTTTTGATGTAAGTGCATTTACTCCAGCTTCCAAAGCCTCTTTTTCCTTCAACAAACCTTTGTAAGCTTTAACAACATCTGAAAAACGAATTAAAATAATACTAGTTTAATATCATGTTCATATCATGCAATATATTAATATTATTATGCTGACTTTTAATCTTATTATTGTGTATGTCAATATTTTTAATGTTTTGATTTTTGTTTGTTTGTTTATTTAAGCTTACATGCATTTTTAGCTTCAATGCTCAAGCTTTAGAAACACTTGGCTGATTGATTAATACATCTTTTTTAGCTCTACTGCCTCTACTATACTGCCCTCATCAGAGCTTTTGAGAATATGAGAACTTGTTTTTTTCCAATTTATATTTATGTCTTTTTTCTTTAATTTTGTAAAGAGATTGTCATTTGGGATGCACCGTTATGTATTGTCGAACGTGTGCTGCTGATACAAAAGTGCTATCATCAAATAATTATCTATCATATCTATATCTACCAAAATCAAATTATTGAGTCGTTGCTAATTATCATGATTTATGTATAATTTTTTTACACATGGTCCCAGGACTGCCAATAGCAAACACGTTTTTCTGCTGACAAACTAAAACACATTCCAGGCACATACACAGACATGACAGGAAATTGATTTGTCATACACTGGGAGAAGTTCCTTCTACTCATCTATTAATAGTGTCATTCTGTGGGCCTACACAGGACAAACAGCTTGAAGACAAGTCTCATTCCAATGGTGATGGTGGTTATGGTGGAAGCGATGATTACTGTATGATGATAGTGGTTGATAATGAAATAAAAATTATTAGGGTGGTGATGATGATAATGATTCTTATATTGATAAATTTGTGATGTTTATGATTTATGGTGAGGATGATGAAGATAATAATAATGAGAAAACACCAGAGGGCATTCTCTTGTCACATTAGGTTGTCTTAATCAGCCAAATGGCACAATCCATAGGAGACCAGATGGATAATGACCATTCCTAGCTGCAAGAAGCATCTAATTTCCTGCTGCCCACACAAAACACATGGAAACAGTGAGCAAACCTAAATTTTGTGAACCATTGTAGACAATGTCTGCTCTCATTTCCCTGCCTATTTTTGTATATTCAACTGCTACCATCAACATTTGGATATTAAAAGTATTAATCTGTAAGTTTGAATAATATTAATATAAATATAGTTTACAAAAGTGGTTTTCCATTAATTGGTTACCGACACAATAATAATAATAATGTTATATTTATATAGCGCATATTGCACATTGCCCCTATGCGCTTTACTGAGAAATAATATAGGCCAACTGAGAAAAAGCAAATAACAATAAAATAATAACAATAAAATAAAATAAAAATAATCATAATAACAATAATAACAATGAGACTAAACTAATCCTATTTATACAATACAAGTACATTGTGACATAAAAACAACTTCATGAGAAAATAACCAGAAACAGTGCATATAACAGTACAAACTTAAAATTGATTTTAATAATTCATCGAACATATTTTAAAAGAGAAGGTATGATATATTGCTTTTAAACTGATTTACTTTCTCTATGTTATTGTTTCTCATTCCATATTCTTTGTATGAATCTTTTAAATTGTTACTAATTCCAATGCAGTAGTTTCCAACCCAAAAATGACCAATTCGAAAAGGTTCACAGGGGTTGGCAAAAGTGTTTGGGGTCCACTTGACTTTCAGACCAATTTATCATGACATTATATTTTTCAAATACAATGATTTGATAAAAAATCTTGCTGCTTATCATTAGTAGCCCTACCACGAATGAAATAGCAATGATGTTGTAATTTTGTGGTGAAACATCTTGGATCTATAATCTTTATCATTCTAATTGGTGAAATAGCAATGAATAAAATTAGCCACGAAGGGGAGGGGGAGGGTCTGTGAAGGCTTTTAACATGTCTTGAGGGATCTGTAAATGAAAAAATGTTGAGAACCACAGGGCCTAATATATCAACAACAAAAAATTGCAGATAAAAAAGTACCTCGAAGCCTTCCTTCACACCTGCTCAGCTGTTCCTGCTGATTCTCGATTGTTTCCAGCAATTCTTTCCTTGATGCACGATTCATTTTTTAATCTTTCTTTTCTTAGACGAATTCAGATCGAAATTTATTTCTACTGTGTAACATTTTGTAATGCACAGGTACGCCTGATTTATTCATCAATGTGAAGAACCTGCGGAGCAAAGAGAAATCTGGTGATGAGTAAAATTCAATTGATCATAAATTTTACAACTACCTGTACTATTACAGAAAATTGTTGTCACCATTGGCTCTACTTCTGCCATTGTACATTAGAAAAGCTGTCCACCCTTATCAAATTTTCTTTGAAAAAAAACTGTTCTATGCCCATATATAGTCATGATGTGCCTACAAGTAGGCCCTATATATGGTTACATCATGACCATATAATAGGCCTGTCACATGTTTTGTCAAACAAAATAATATAAATCCATCTGCATATTTTGGAAAATAAGAGTTGATAAGTATGGCTTATTGGTCCTTTAAATCAACGTTCCGCAAACTACGAAACATTTTGGGAGGGCAGCGAAGCCATCCAGGAAATTGAAAAAATATAACAAAAATATGTTTCAACATGGAGAAAATAGTTGTAATAGCTTCATACAGCGAATCCGCAGCTTGTACACGCTGCTGAAGTGCCACATTATGCGTGATGTTTGAGTTACAAGTGCCTTTTATTCTTACCGCAATTGTTTTGTAAACCTACCAAATCAAATTGATACACGTGGTTGAGGTTTTCGGAGGCGATGCATGCTGCAGGATTGTAATATGTTGTCACCTTATGCATTTTCGCTAATGTTTTAACTGTATGGACAATATTTAATATATATGTGTGTGTGCATATATGTATATTGTATATAGGCCTATATATACCCTGCTAAACACTGGAAAAATCATCATTTTACCATGTACTCTTCAACTCTGGGGGGAGGGGGTGTCAGCAAAAAGAAAATGATGAAAATATTATGGATTTTAATATACTGTATCACACAGTACTTCAATGCCACTTGGCCCCAGACTGTAAAGTAAGGCCTGCGCTGGGCCTATATCCGCTGCGTAAAAATTATGCCTAGAAAACCATCTGCGCACTTCGAAAAAAAAGGGCAAATTCTGCTGAAAATTATTGTAGCTTTGACTTAATCTTTCACAGCATATAACACTGCACAGTGCATATGCAGCAGTCCAGTAGTTACGATTTTGCACATCTATTATTGTCATAGCGATCTTCAGTGCAAATTTTACCTAGTTTTTGAAGTACCATTCATTTACCTTCAATAAATTGAGTGGCGTTTACTACGGTGAGTTAAGTAAGGTGGCAAGTTCATCCCCGCAATTATTCAACTTTACTGTACAGTATGGCCTAGGCCTAAGCCTGGAATAGAAATATGCTTGGTGGTGATATGACATTGGCAAGCCTCTTCCTAGACGAGGCCTTACTTGGCCTAGACCTAGGCCATAGTCCTAGTGCAGGGAGGTTAGGTGTGTAGGCCAGCGCTAGCCAGGCTTAGCCTGGGCCTGCTAGCCGGTGATATGCTCACAACACAACTGTCAAAGGGTGGACAGGGTCAGGGCTAACTCAGCTCCCAGGCCTAGCCAGTAAGCCGAGTGTTTTTAAGACCTCTGTTTAATGAATACGTATATCTACCATTTCCAACACACAAGTTGGTATCCCTATTTCGAACAACATTGAATAAAACACACCTTTTGTCTAAGACACATCATTAATCATGACAAAATATTCTTCGTTCGTAAAAACCAAAACAACAAAAGATGGAAGTTTCGCGACACGTCAATATGTAAAGCGCCCTCACTATTCTTTGTGAAAAATACTTTTCGCACACGTGTGTAGGATTTTCAATTTCGAACCAAAATGATTAAAGATTACCTAGGTAGTCAATTTTAAAATTTAAAAAACGGGGCATTTAGGCGTGGTCGCATTTTCATTTAATCGTCACACGCTAACCATACGAAAATTTTATAGATAAATTTATTATATACTGTATACAAAAAAAATCCTTTTAAATTCTTCTACATGTAGCCTACTTCAATTATTTTTTTTACAGGAGCTTGAGAGAGAATTCACTTTGGTTTCGGTGGGGCTTACAGTCCATTATTTTCTCAGACACTAAAATAACCTGTCAGCTTGTTTCATTGCTGTTGTGAAGGGGAGTTCGTGCCACACTATGTTTTAAAATGTTAATACTGGCTATGTATTAGGATACATAGGCCTTATATCGTTTACGTGCCCCCTTTCGATTTAAGGCACCCGTCGAACCCCCTGTATATACGGGCCTCTGAAAAGTAAGAACGAATATCTGTTATTTTAAAATATCGGCAAGATATTTTTTCCCCCGTTTTATCTCAACTGGAAGCTCATCGGAAATTAAATTACTGTATATCTGTTAAAATATTTTTGTTTACAACGCTGCTACAATGCTGTGCCTTGCACTGAGTATTTAAATCAATTGAGTGTGATAGGCTTATTATTAAAAGGGCATGGTCTAGGCGTAGTTCGAAATTAAATAAATTGCAGTTGCGATTTTTTTTCAAATGAGGTTTTCATTTTTTTTAATATAAAAAAACAACAAATCTTATTTGCACATAACTTGTAGTGGTGTGTTTATGTAATACTCTCTACACAACAGTAAATTAATATACTGCTGTACAATATTATGTTTGGAAAGAGTGTAAAAATAAGAAAAAAAGAACATTCATAAATGGGACACAGAATATTCTGTCATCCTATACGCTATGTAGTGACAGAATAATTAGGGCCTATATAACATAACTGCTTGTTAGGTTTTGTTCATTGTCACTTTTTTTTTTGGTGGGGGGGGGGGGGGGGGGGGGGGGATGTGGAGGGCTTACAATGCGATTGGTGCCACCGATTTCAAGGCTGGGGCTCCAATAATAATCTGAAAACTTTTGAAGATGTTTGAATGTTAAAGCCCCATTCCCGGCAAAATTTCACTAAAAACAGATGTTTTTTTGTTTGTTTTTTTTTAGAAAAGATGCATAGGGCCTATGCATTACTCCAATTATTATAAATCATGGAAAAATATTGGCATAAAATTTAGTTTTATGCAAAAGAATTTTAAAAAAAAGAGAGAAATACAGACTATTTCTCATAGAATATTACCATTTTCTCAAATTCAGCGGTTGTAGATCGCATCCGCAGGGAATACTCTCGCTTTTTGTATACTTTATACAGTCAATAAAGTGCGCCCTCTCTATTAGTTTTGTACTTCGCATCTCGCGCACAATGCGGTCGTTCGAGTAGGCCTGAGATGTTTGTTAGCCCTATTCCGGGCAAAATTTCACTAAAAAGATTTTTTTAGAAAAAATGCATATTCATTACTCCATTTATTATAAACAATGGAAAATATTGACATACATTTTAGTTTTACGTAAAAGAATTTTAAAAAAATGAGAAATACAGACTATTTCTCATAGGAGATTACCATGTTCTCGACTAATTCTTCATCATTATTACTAGGCAAATTCAGAGGTTGTAGATCGCATCCGCTTTTACGCTGTACGGTTTTATCTACGGCTCTGTACTGTATGCGATTTTTTTTCCCGTACGAAACATTTACATGAAACTCCACTCGGGCCGTCTCGGCTAAATCGACCCGAAAATCTCATTGCAGAATTCAGGAGGTCAAAAGGTCATCAATAGATAAACGTCTGCAGAACAACTTCTAAGAGAACGTCGCTGTCTAATTTTAAAAAATACATTGATGTTACCATGTTAATACCAATGGGTCGCTTAAAATGACATATAATATTTGATTAAGCTGCACGAGTAATGAAAAGTGTTATTTTAACTTGAGTTACATGACAATTTTAATTTTTTAGTTAGGCCTGGGTTTTGCATAATTACCTGGTCTACTAAAAACGCTTTTTCACAAAGCATTTGCATCCCCTCTTGGAAAGAGAGAACTTCGAAATAATTCGCTAATTAAATTAATCACCGTAAAATGTACAATAATCATTTCACTACCCGACAAACTCCGAACTTTATTCATTTGGCCTGCATAATAGTTTCATCTTGCTGTACTATATACTCCAACATCACTGGCGCTGTCTCTTATACACATCTAGATGTGTATAAGAGACAGGAAATAACACAAAAGATATTCCCCTTAAGCGATTATTATTTATAGGCCTAGTAAATAGTACAGTATCTGTAGGTTCTTCATTACAAGGCTTAGGCCAAAGGTAATTAATGCTGAAATTATTATTATTATTATTAATATTATTATTATTATTATTATTATTATTATTATTATTATTTAGCATTATTTACATTACAATGATAGTTTGGACAAGCTCAATAACGCCGGAATGATATATTATTTATTTAATAATATTTCTCTTATGCGCTCTATTTTTCATTTCATGTTTCAATTTTGTCCCATTTTCCCCACCAAAATTTCAGTCCATGTCAGTATGTGAAGCGTGACTGTTGTGTCAGCCTGACCCTAGGCCTAGTTTAAGGAGGGGCCTAGGTAAGACCTCAGCCTGTAGTTAGGACTATTATTTTATCCTCTTTCTCGCCAGCCTTTGGTATAACTGTACCTATCTACACTGTATAACAGGAGGTACTAGCTGTCGTTGTTGTAGATAATATACTAACATTTAATAACATCCAAGAAGGTCACAGTTAGTTACACAGTGACGTACATCACGTAAGTCCGTGAAATTTTATAGGCCTACCGTAGGTAAACATAGAAAGAGCAATAATAGTAAAACTCGAGCGTCACGACATTGCGAAGTGTCTGCTCTTGTTCCTCGTATCGTACTCACTCGAGTCAATCCGAGATGGCCCGAGTGAAGTTTCATGCAAATGTTTCGTACGGAAAAAAAAATCGCGTACTGTATACAGTAGACTTGCCACAAGTCTCTAATTTATGGATTTTTCGTAGTACATTAGCGCATTTCGGTAAGCGCCACCAGCGTCAGTTTATGTTGAGAAACTTTTTTGATGAGAGAATTAGAAAATCCTAATCCCAGAAAAAGTATACTATGGAACGCCATGCAAATAAGTAATATGGAACGCTATTTGTGCCAAAATCGATTTATTCTTAAGCATTTCAACTGATTAAGACAAAGATTAGGGACTGGAACCCAGTCTATGTATACAGGTACCTATATGGAGTCTTTAAGTGCGCCCTCTCTATGGAAATTGTTTTTTGTACTTCGCATCTCGCACACTGCGATCGATCGAGTAGGCCTGAGATATGTTTGTTTATTTGTCAAAATCTTGATCAGAATTATTTTTTAACAGATTTGAAATAATTTCTATGAAATATGATATTTCACAAGTATCAATACTAGCAATGGAAACAATTATGTCGGCCGTTTTTATGTGTGATAACAGAACCTAAATCGAGGTAAGGCTAGGCCTAGGCCTAGACTAGCAGTGTTGGATAGGCTAATGTTTTTGGCGCCTACTATACTATATTTCTTGGCAGACCTATCGCAAAGTCAAACTTGAAAAATCCATCCGCATTTATTTTTTGTGTGAACACAAAAAAATTGATTTCAGTCATATTTTACATTATTTCATGCTTAGGAATGTCTAAATTCAGTTAAACTAGCAATTCTTATTATATTAGTCTTTATAACATTATAGAAAAATTAGATTTTTCTTAACAACTGAAATTTTGAATCTAATGTTAATGTTAATGTTATTTCAAATCTCGTGTATATTGAATCTGCTATTTTCTTCTGTTCAGTGCTCTTTGACTATCCTTATTACACGCTGTGTAGAAGAATTAAAATGTATGTTTTAATTGTAAAGTGTATTTAAAAAAGAAAGTGGGGCTCGTCCGGGAATTGAACCCGGGGCCTCTCGCACCCAAAGCGAGAATCATGCCACTAGACCAACGAGCCTTCCTTGAGTAACCGAAATGCATACTTCTCTCTAACCACTTTTGTTGTATACACAGCCGCTGTACGTATAGCCAGTCCCTTATAACAATTGGGTCAAAGCAAATCCAAACGAGGAAAATCTAGAAAAAGATACACAAAATATTTAATATTCTTCATATAATGCTGCCTGTTTTTATTGTATTTTATCAATTTTTATGTAAAGCGTATTGAACAGCATTCTGAAAATGCGCTATATAAATTCATATTATTATTATATTATTATTAATTTATTAAATAAGAATTTGCAAAAAAAATATTAAAAAATAATAATAATAATGACGATAATAATAATAATAATAATAATAATAATAATAATAATAATAATAATAATAATAATAATAATAATAACATTTTTAATTAGTAACATTAGTTCCTGGAATAAAATTAATAATGTTGACGGTAACAAATTATATGACCATGTTAAAAATCATAAGAACAATTATAACATAATATTAATAATGAAATAAAAATTACTATACAGTAATGATAGTAGTAGTAATAATAATAATAATAATAATAATAATACTAACAATAATAACAATAATAATATTAATATCATTAATGATAGCATTAACAGTGAGAAGGTCTTAGCTAACTGTTGTATTTCCAAATACCAGTAAATACTATATTAAACTACATTTTTATACTCCTCTGTTTAAAACTTTTATATTAATTTGTTTTGCTCGTTGTTTTTCTTTGTTTTGCTTTCTTTTTATAATTTTCTTGATATTGTATGTTTCCTTTGTGAACGCACCATCATTCTGACGTGTGCCGCTGATCTAAAAGCGTATGTTCAATAAAGTTCAGTTCAGTCAGTATTGAAAATAGGCCCAACTTGTAATGTGTATATAGGCCCAACTTATAATG